GAGGAGGGATGGGGGTGAGGGGAGGGAGAGGGAGAGGGAAAGGGAGAAGGGACTTACATGTGAAACAAGCTTGTTCCCTAACTTGAACTAATAAATTTTAAAAAATTTAAAAAAAGAAAGGTATTTTCACTCTCAATAAATGCAAAAAGCTCAAAAAGCTTAACTTAAAATTTTCATATTACATTGCAGCACACATTCTAGAACACAGGGCCATTAGGAGAACAATCATGTAAACATGGCAGACATGCCCTGTTAATAGTTCTTACATTTTTAGAAAACATAGTAATAGATGTGCAAAATTTAAAGAGAAAAGACACAAATACATAGATCTTTTTAGTAATCCAAAGCTATTTATAGCTTATCACTTAAAATGGAGTAGCATACCTTCGGTAGAGAGGCTCAACAGTTACGTGAATGAGCTTGCAAATAGCTAGAGCTATTAATTTATGTGAAGCTGCATAGTATGGAGGCATCTGATCCATGATGCTCTGTGCATGTTGCCAATCACCGATCTTTAACAAGGCTTCCAACAAACCAAGTTTTTGGTTGTCAGGTGGCTAAAAATGAACAAGTATAACAATGATACTTGGAATACAGATATTTCTTTTTAAAACTTGAGCTAAATATCACAATAAATGTACACCCAAAAAGTTATATCTGGGAAATTTAACAATTGCCTGAATTTTCAGTGACTTGAAAAAATAGGACCTTTTGATTTCAGGGTTTTTTTTGTTGTTTTATTTTTCCATTTAGCACAAACATTGGCATTATAATTTATGAATTTGGAATTTACTTTGACTTAATGCTATACTGCAGTAGACACTAGAATTCATTCATCATTGAGAATCCCAGTGGGATTTGAAGAATATTATATACAAAGAAAGAATAAAAATCAATATATTTTGTGATTTTTTTTATTTTGACAGTTACACAACAAAAAGAGCAGCCATCTTTGTAAAGGTACCATTCATATTAATATCCATAAGTGTTACCCAAATCAAATTTCAACATAATCAAAATTAAGAAATTATACTTCCATGAGGTGATTAACATGAGAAATTAAATTTTGTGATTCTAAACAATGTAAACTTTACTAGACTAATTAAATGTACCTTCTCTACTTTCTCATCATCTTTGTCCTTTTCTTTGTCTCGTTCATCAAGTTTTTCAGTAGACAATACAACCATTGTTAGTTTTCTTACAATTTGCTTAGCTTCCACAATTTCTCGTTTGTATTCATCCATAATGGAATTATCAGCTGGTAGAAGCTAAAAATAGATCATGAAAATTTCATGAGTTAATACAAATAAATAGCTTACATATATAAAAAGCAAATACTATTGTCCAATTAGTAAATCTATGAATACGAAGTTTCGCTTATTCATATCTATGCTTTCCTTCCAAGTAAGTCTTAGTTATTGTCTGATAATTTAAAAAGGTTAGTACCTCAATATTGAAGACATCTTAAAGTCACATAGCAATAAATGCTTTGTATCTTTGGTACACTAAAGGTCCTAAATTCATAATACAGAGATGTTTACCACTGAATTTATAAATATAGCCAAAATGTATACCTATTCCATTGGAAATATTGGGAGAAGTGTGCTCAGTGGGAGAGAGCAAAGTTCGTCTAGCATTACTAGAACCTGTATTTGAACTTCAGTACTACCCAAACAAAGAAAAATTATGTATTTACCTGTTAAAAGCCAAATTCCAAGCTAAATTAAGTATTACATATATACCAAAAGGAGAGACTTGAATGTTCTAATTTTCAATTGGTTTGGTACATATAATGTTAGAACATCACTAACACTCTCTGGTGTTTTCCTTTTTATTTGTTTTGTGGTGCTGGAGTTTAAATCCAAGACCCTGCCTGAGTGCTTAACTTCATTATCATTTCAGATCTATTTTGTAGACCTTCCAATACTTCCTCTTCTAATATTCATAGTTTCAGTTTGTGAATCACTTTTCTTTCAATCCTGAATAGTGCTCTTATCCCAAGAGAAAAATCCAAACTATCCACTATATATGCAGATAGGAGCCTTCCAATGGTTTAGTTCCAACCTGCTTCTCATCCTCATTACTCCCACATGCCTCCTAGGCTCCAAACACTCTCAGGTTCTTGGTGTCTCCTTACACAGGTAACTCAAATGCTGTTGAATCTCTAGCTTTCAAACTCCCTCAATTTTACCGATATATTTCATCCTGGAAAATATCTCCTCTGCTGTGATCCGAGTTCAACCACACTAGTTTAAAAGACTTTCCAACAGCCACCCCACTCACAGATGAATGTCATCACTATCTACTGTGAGGTCACAATGCAGACTACATGTTCATACGAGGCATTTTTCTCCCATGCCACAATGTGACATTGCAAGCTCTCTAGCCATGGTATACAAATAGGAAGGAAATTATCATGTGATTTCAAAGACAGCCAAGACTACAGATATAAGTCAACAGATAGCCCAAAGCAGAAACTAATGAAAGATTACACTGCAAACTTCAGCTTCCCAAACTGGCACCTCAACTCTTGATGAACTACAATACTAAACCCAACAAAAAATCCCAATAGTAGTCAATTATTACACAGTAAAAACAATGAATTTTTAATATACTAAAAGTAAAAAAAAAAGCAATGTTTACCTAGAACTATCTAAGCAATCCCTATTTCCTACAAGTCACATGTAAAAATAAAGGTTAACACTACAATGCTTAGTGCTTGACTTTTCTTCCCATGAGCTAAGGACTGGTGATGATTCAATCTTTAAACCTATAAGGGTGACTAAGAGGAATTTAATTTCCATAGTTGGTCAAAGAAGAGAATCCACTAAGTGTTTAAAGTAGACAAAACAATAATATATTATATAGCTTCAAAAATAAAACCCAGCAGTCTAGAGCCAACACTGAGAGCTACATAGTTGTCTACTCCTCTCCCCGACCCCTGAGAAGCAGAAGCAAATACTCTTAACAGACCACTCAACTTACATGTACGTAAAGATCATCTAAATCTATGAGATTAAATTGCAGAAGCACTGCTGCAACTCTGTATAAAGACGAAGGAGTCTCACCACTTGGTTCCTGAAAGAAAAAAAAAATTCCTTAGGGTATAAAGTAAATTTAAAAACCTTTCTCTACCAATCATCAATAAAAATTAATTAATACACTTCACTCTTCTCTGTTTCAAAAATCAAACATCTGAACAGTGGGGCAAAGATTTTTGCCAGCATCCTAAAACATCCTCAGATGAGTACAAAGAGAACAACCTGCATGGGACAGACCTAGGCCCTCTGAATGTATGTGACAGTTGTGTAGCATAGTCTCTTTATAAGGCTCCAAGAAGTGAGACTAGGACCTGTCCCTTAGTGCTTAGCTGGCTTTTGGACACCTGTTCACCCAGTCTTGACACAAGGGGAGGAGCTTAGTCATGTCTCAACTTGATGTTCAAGCCTATGGGAGGCCTGCCCCTTTCTGATTGGATATGGGGGAGGAGTGGATGGCCAGGCGGGTAGATAGGAGGAGGGTAAGAGGTGAGGGAGGAGGAAAGGGAAGCTGTGATCAGTATGTAAAACAAATGAAAAAATGTTTTTAAGTAAAATTTTAAAAAAGTTTTGAGACTAAGTATCCACATCAGAATATATAATAATATGAGTAAAAGTGGAGACCTGAACAGAATGTGAGATTTAAACTATATAACATCATCTTCATTTCTGCTTGTAAAGCTGTTATTGTGGATGATTTGTTTTTTTCATATTTGCTTTTCAAGTAGTTGTCAGTGAGCATGCAATGCGGATAGGCAGGACTGGCAAATGTGGAAGTACACACTATACCTTTATGTCTTGAATTTTGTGCTATGTATATCTAATTATACCCCAACTTCCCCTTTAAAACAGTTCAGATAAATAAATCTGCACTGAAAACACAAAATGACAAAGTTAATTCCAGAGAAACTATGAGGGCCTATATGTCTAGAAAAACAATTATAGACACTGAAACCAATCTTTAAACTATTTTCAGTAAAATAACTAGTAATACAAGTCAAATGTAAATAAAAAGCAAACATTGACAACATACTAAGTTTTTTTTTGCAACACTGAAAACAAACTTCTGTAAGTAAAGGTTTCCATACTTGGGATGCATATTATGACCATAACCAAACTAATTTGTATTTGTTAAAAAATATCCTGTTTTGCTGTATTTTTTTACAATAGATAAGTCTTCAATTTAACAAGTTTCTTGATTCTAAATGTTAGCACATAAATGACTATTTAGTGTTAAATATTTTCAATAAAAACAAATAATGGTCCAAGTTTGATGTCAAAACAAACTCACAAAAGTTTACTGAACTTATTGATGCGTCCTGAAATACCTGACTTGAATGTACTAAAACCACATTCACTGTTCTTTAAATCCCAATTTACATGACTGAGCTCTAGAAATTTCACCTCCCCTTTCTAATATAACTTCTCACTAAGCTCTGTCTGCCCGACATTTTTGTCCCCTGCCTCCGTCAACCTCACCTGCCACGGAATCTGCCAAGGTCCCCCTAGTGCTTTATCATAACAATTTCTGCACAGAAAAGTCTCAACATGCTAGCTATTACTCTTCCAAGTATTATCAGACCCTGTCTCTCCAAAATTTAATTCTGCTTTTCTCCAGACTTTCTCATCAGATCATTTAAACTGTTAATATGTCATATAATATAATCATATATAACTTAAGTCATATCATTAGCTTTCCATTTCTCTATCTCTTCAGCTAAATATTTGAGCTAAAACTAGCAAATAATATAGTGAAAATGAAAAATAAAACAAACAAAACATAGAAAATTATGAAGTTAACCTATACATATATGTACGTTTTTACCTGGTAAAACTTGAATTTGAACCCAAGAATATGACACAGTGTTTGCGGTTCACACATGCTCATGTAAGATTCTAATAAAGATATAAAGAAGTCATCGTGTTCTGGCCTGCATTCAAACACTTCTAAAATTACATCCAAAACTCTATTGGGATCCAAATTAAAGCATCCTGAAACAGATAAGATACATATAAGTTCAAAAGTGATTTACATGACATTTCTAGTAAAGTCATCAACCATGAAAATATATAGTAAGATAAAACTATCTAATAACAGCTTATTTTCAAAGTTTGTGCCCTCTCCTTAAGAGGAGAACCTCCTCAGGAACATTTTTAAAGGCTGTATGTTTCACAGATAAAAACAGAAAAAAGCACCGGGCGTTGGTGTTGCATGCCTTTAATCCCAGCACTCGGGAGGCAGGCGGATCTCTGTGAGTTCCAGGCCAGCCTTGTCCAGAGAGAGTGCCAGGATAGGCTCCAAAGCTACACAGAGAAACCCTGTCTCGAAAAACCAAAAAAAGAAAAGAGAAAAAAGCAGAGGAATGGGGTATGCTCAATTACTGTACAAGTTTAAAGTAGCCATGCTGAAGGATTAAAACTTTTTTTATTAATGTCTTACATAACAAGCTATTTCGCATACAGTGAAACTCTAAACAATCAACAAGCTTCAATATCCAAAGATTTTTTTTTTCCAACTGACAGCTGTGGTAAAGCATAGGCACTCTTGTGTTTAAGCATCTTAGAAAGGCTTTTGTCTATCCTAAGTATCAACAGACATGTGATCTTCAGAGAAATCATAAGCCTAGCTCTCAACCACCAGTTACGTTAAGCAACATATACATAAATGGGGGGGGGGGGGCAGTGATGTCACAATGCCTTTGGAGGAATAGAAAACCATCCTGGAGGAGAGTGTGTGGGAAAAATTAAAGAAATAACAGACCTGAAACAACCATGAACTCATTCCTCCATTTAAATATTAGACAGCTATCTGCTAAGTGTCACAAGCTTGTGATACACAGTTAAGAGACTGCCTCTTCTATCAAGTTTTCATACCTTATGAAGAATGATCACTAAAGAAATGCACGGGAAGTAACTGGGGTTTATCCAAAAATGGACAGTCAATAGGTTACAGTAAATGCAACTAGATGCAAGCAAGAAGAGGGACCATTATAGGTTTAAAGAAAAACCTTGCACTAAGGAAATGTCCCTAGAATTGACAAATGGAATTATATGAAGTTTAAAATATCCTGCACAGAAAATTAAATGAACGCCATAGTGAAAAGACAGGTCTATAGAATTGGGGAAAAACTTTGCCAACTACTTATCAGATTAGAGATTAGTAAGTAGAATATTAATTAGAACTATAACAATTAAAAGTACTGTACCATCACCCCCCACCAAAAAAAATCACACTATCAGTAAACAGGCTAATAAACAGTTCTAAAGAGAATTACAAATGGTTAATACTTGAGAAAGTATTCAGCCTCCTTAGTCATTCAGAAAATACAATGAAAATTACTTTAAAAGATCATTTCACTCTGTCAGGATGGCTCTCACCCAGAAAATAATTAACAATAAAACATTGGTGAGGATATGGGAAACACTCTATTCATTGCTGGTAGGAAGGCCAACTGGTTCAGCCACCGTGGAAGACAGTGTGGAAGTTCCTTAAAAGAACTAAAGTAGAACTACTACATGATACAGCAATACCTAGGTAGATAAACAAAAGACACTAAATTCAATATACTACAAACATACATGCACATCCATGTTTATAGCTACACTATCACAGTAGGTAAGAAATGAAACCATCTACAGATGAATTGATTTTAAAAAGTGTAGTAGACATACACAAGATTTTAGCAGCCATAAAGAAAAAATGAAAGATGACATCTGCAAGAAAATGAATGACAAAAATTATCATTATATTAAACGAATTAAGACAGATTCAGAAAGAAATTAAATACGGTTTTATGAGAAGTCTAGATTTAAATGCTTATCTCTTTCTTCTCCCTACTTCGTTGTAGGATGAAAGTAGAAAGGGGACATAAGAAGAGAGGTCGAGCTCTTGAGAGAAGGGTAATGGAATTCATATGTCATGAAGCCAAAAAGAAGGACTACTGAGGATCAGCAAGAGGTCTCTGAAGGGACAATAGGCACTGGGAGAGATTAAAAACAGAACATAATGAGGTGGGAGGGAGAGGCAGAGAACGAGAGAGAATATCCTAATGAAACTCATCATTTTATATGCTAACTTAAAGTAAAACTTTAAAAACTTTAAATGAAGGTCCTCAGTTCTAATTACGGTGGGTAATTATAAGCTTTAGAATCCAAGCCCAAAAAAAAAAAATCCTGGACAAGTAAATCTAAAATGAAGAAGAATCACTTTTCTTCTATAATGCTAAGATGAAGTAAACTTGCTGATGAGTTCTTTTTGCCAGGATTTTTATATAGTCCAAGAATCAACAAACAGTGGCCTGCCAGTTAAAACCACTTGACTGTTGGTAGTTGCACATAAAAGATTGGGGTTCTGCCTGCATATATGAATGGGTGAGGTGTCAGATCTCCTGGAACTGGAGTTACAGACAGTTGTGAACTGACTGCCATGTGGGTTCTGGGAATTAAACCTAAGTCCTTTAGAAGAAGAGCCAGTGTTCTTAATCCCTTGAGCCATCTCTCCAGCCCCTGTAAATAAGGTTCTAATCAGAGTCTCATTTATTTATGTGCTTTCTATGGGTGTTTTCACCATGCAATGGCAGAGTTGAGTAGTTTCAACAGAAACTGCTTGGCCACAAAATCCAAAAAGTCTTTTCTCATAGCCTTTACAGAAAAACAGTAAACCTAACTGGGCAGGATGGAGTACACCTATTACTCCCAATAGTTAGGAGGTTGAGGCAAAAGAATCAAGAGATCCAGGCCAGTCTATGAGTTACATGCAAGACCCCATGTCAAAACAAAACAGAAAAGAAGATGGAAGAAGAAAAGAATGTTTACTTAACATTGACTTAGATGAAAAGACTACCTTGCAATGATTTTTTATTATGTATATAATGTATATAATGTATATATAAATATACACAAATACATTGTAAATAACGTTTTGAGTTTTTAGGGCATCTAGTTATATAGTAATACTTTAGTTCAAACAAAGAAGCCCACCTCCTTTTTTCCTCTGATTTATAAAATATACATTGTATCTGCCCCCTTGGTATAAAATTCACTTGGGAGGATCTATGTATTAGTAGCCTAGTAATATTTTTTCATCCCTATTTAATAAATTATTCAGATTTACTATCAGACTTTAGATAGTAATCAACACCACACAATACTAGCAGTTCTGCTTCTATGCTTGCTTACATAATAAACAGCACAGGCTAAAAAGTTACATGTACTTTCATGTGCCAGAATCTTAAAGGATGATAAATGAGAATTTCTCTGGATCAGACGAAGTATCCTGAATACAAGTGTACCCAACATAGACACCTTCCAAACTAGGTATTGGTTTTCCACAATGGCTTGTGAAGATCAGATCTAAGATAGTTTTGCATGAAGTATTACCTATCTAGATTGCTCATTAAGACAAACCAGTGGAAATGAACATGGAGAAACCTATCCAAAGATGCCATTAAAAACAGGATGCTGTGCAGGTGAAGTGCTTTGGTCAGATGAGACAAGACCTAAATGGAGTTGCATTGAAAGTGAATACAATTAATTTAAACACTGAAAGAATATTCAATGACATTAAATCCTTAACCTCAATTTCTGCGTCAATGAAAAGTACCTTTCTCAAACAACTAGAGGGAACAAAAGGTCATCAAGCCATAAAGAAACAAAGTCAAGTAGCTAAGCTTTCTAAATTTCTCCATGTCAAAGAAGAGAGGCTAAAAATCACTATAAATACCACAAGAAACGGGGAGGATTTAATTAACTTTCCACTCATTTATTTATCACCTACCAAGCCCTAAGAATTGGTTACTAAATAAACCAAACAAAAAAAGCACTGTCCTCACCCAAGCTAGTGAGAGCTCACCGATCCAGACTGACAGCAGTGGAACCTGCATCAGAACAAACTAGACTCCCTGAATGCAGGTGACAAGGGGTGAAGTAGGTCCAGGATCTATCCCTAGTACATGAACTGGCTTTTGGGGGGGTCCATTTCCTATGGAGAGATACCATGCTCACCTAGACACAGTGGGGAGGACCTTGGTCAGGCCGCAATGTGGTGATGGGACAGACTTCATTGGCTCCCCATGGGAGGCCATACCTTCTTTAAGGAGCAAAGGGGGATGGGGTGAGGTGAAGGAGGGGGGAGCCAGATGAGGAGAGGGAGTTAGAACTAGAATTGATATATAAAATTAAAATACAAAATAAAATAAAATTGTCCTCACAAAGTGTACATTCATCTGATGGTAGAATCTAAAGTTTGTTCCAAGACTGCCTTAAGGATGCCAAAATCAACAGATGCTACAGTCTCTTACATAAAATGGAACAAGATATGCATATAATTGATATACATGCTCTTACTTTAAATCACATAAAGTTTGGTTGCAATAACTAATACAATGTAAATACTTGTAACGATTCTCCCATGAATATTTTCAACCCATAGAAACACAGGATAGCTGATATAGTGGTAAATGCTGAGAAGAAAAATAACCCAAGAAAATAAGGACTGCTAAGTGATGATGGCCAGGGAAGCCTTAAGAAGATGGTATCTGAGTGCATCTGGTCCATCACACTTTACAGGATGCTAAACGGATTAGAATAAATGCAGACCAAGAAATCAAATTGTTTATAATACTTCTGGACTATCCATGTGGATCAGGAGCCTGAAGTAGAGATGATGTCACATTGATCTACAGAGATAATAGATTTCTGTAAGAGCAAAGTTGAAGAAAAGAAAGAAGTGAACATTTTCTAGTTACATAAAAGCATACCTTCAAGAAAATCTGTCTTTGAAATGTTCCCAAAATAACAAAGACATAGAAAAGGTAAAAACCCAGAAGGGGAAAAAAACAGGAAAGAGACATGCACATAAGAAGAGATAAAGTGAAAGCAAACAGTGGAAAGGTTTGCATGACATGAGATCTTAAGATGAAGGAGGGAACACTATGTCAAGTGAGGACATGACACAGTACAAGGAAGAGAAAAAGGACAGTACGGCAGTACTAACAGGCTTCCCGAGCTAGATGAAGGGGAATCTGCAGGACAAATGCAGCTACTCTAGAAAGAAGAATGCTGCACTAGAGAAGTTTAAAAACAGGTTATTGACACAGCCAAGGCCACAGAAGACAGCAAGCGCCCTTCAAGGCTAGAAGCGCACTCATATGATCTTCAATCACCATAGGACAAAAGCAGAAAAGAAACTAGATCATCTACCAGAACCTGACTTCAAAGAAAAAGGTCAATTTAAACTAAATGTAGCCTTAGCATGTATACTTGGAGTCACTAAAAGCCAAGCCAAAGAATAAAGAAAACTGAAATAGATACAGCTTTATTTGGGTGACTACAGAAAGCAGTAGAAGGAGGGAATAAGGGCCCAGCCAACTTGTATTCTTAGCTAGAATCTCCAAAAACAGATCAAAAACAAACTATGGGTAAGTAGCAGCTCTGTTTTAACCTATGAGGTAAGAAATAGTCCTGCCAGGGACCACAAAACATGATTTTGCACAACTTAAAAATATTCACTAGATAGAAAATCACCTAACAAATAGTACCAAGAATTCTTGACATACTTAGAAAAAAGGGATTCCTTCTGTCTATAAATGTCAGCTAGTTTCTTCAAATTCCCAATACAAAAGCAGTATGACAGAATTGCTATTTTACAACTAGGGAAAACATTTTTCTGCTATATTCTTCCATCATCCTGCTACTTTCAGAAGTAAAAATAAAATGTGTTTTAAAGTCCCTCATAAATGGTAATTTATAAAACCAAGTTCAAAAGAACTATATATCACCAGGTTTCAAGAGTTCTCCAAACATTTATATTAAATAAGTTGTCTTACTTATTTTCTACCATCTATAAAAATACCTGAGAAAGTTAAAATTAACAGAAGTGTTAGAAAGAACACGGGAACTAATATACACACAGGTAACAATGACAAAAACATTTTTCATAAAGATCATGATAAATTTTATAAATACTGATAAAATACTAAAAATAAAAGCTATGTAATTCCAGGTTTGGGGATTCTTCTTGTTTTGTTTCCTGAGAAAGAATCTCCTGTTGTCTGGGCTTGCCTCAAACTCACTATATAGATGAGGATGATTAATTTTGTTTTTATGGATATCTTCCCAAAATTAAAAATAAAGCTTATCTTAATAATACAAAGTACATAGATACACGTATGGCTTACCTATTAAAGATTTGATATTTTCTAATATTAAATCGCTAGTAATATTTGCAGATAAATCTTGCCCCAATTCAGCAATCAGCTTGGCATAACCTTCATTCTCTTCTCTTAATAAATTGAATTTTTGTTGCTTATAGCTGAAATCAGAAATACCATTAACAGGATAAAATTAATTTCAATCATCAAGCTTGCACAATATAGTGTACTCTCACTGACTATCACTAACTTTAAAACAATCATAAGAATGACTAATTACAGTTTAACTTTTTGTGTATCTTTTAGTATAAAAAGCAATTTTAGCTAATAAGGGAACACACCAACATACCAATATTTCCACTACTGATTATGAATATTCTCTGAATATAGCCATGGTTGTAAAATATATAATGCTAATGACAGAAAATATGGGTCTGGAGAAGTAGTAGCTCAGCACCTATATCAGGCAGCTCACAACTTCCCTATAACTCGAGCTCCAGGGAGAATCCAATACCTCTGGTCTCCGAGAACACCTTAGCATACCCACATATACGGCCCTCCCACACACATACCACTTAAAATAAGTCTTCTTAAAAAGAATTTAATGTTATCTCAGACTCAAATATGGACAAAGTTAACACAGGAATAGCACACTGAAAACTCAATAATTTAAGTGTTTTAGAAGGGAAAAATACTAACCACAAACAACAAAAAAAATGAACAACCTTCAAGGGGTCTTAAAAAAAAACCCTCTACTGTTCAAAATGAGAAATAAACATTCAGATATTTGATCTGTAACATAAGCCACATATACTTACAAGAGTTTTGTCTTTATTTTAACTGACTTTTGATTGAACTGCTGAGATTGTTTGATTAGCCCTAATGACTCCAAAGTTTCTGGATCCAAGCGTTCCTTCAGAACTGTGTCTGAAACTAAATACTGTATTAAAAGATATTAAAGACTAGTTATTATTTAGAATTCCAACTATGTACCCACACTCTCAAATATATTCAAAATACTCTTTCCAATGTAAGAATACATAACAGCATTATCTCTTTATAAAGCCTAGAATTTCAATTCAATAAAAATGACTCTCCAAATACTGAAATATAAAATATATAGCTCTTTCAAAAATACTTTAAAACTCTTTATTTGCTATCCACTGCTTACAGAGTAAGAACTACAGATTCAATTTTCATTACATTGAGCCTGTCCTAACTCAATTTTCACCTAATAACATACTTCAGCATTCTATATTTTCTACAGCAAGCCAAACAATAATATAACAAAGATAAGAACATTCTTCTAAGTCCCAGTATTTTTCCTTGGTTCTAATTTTATGAACATAAAGTGGCTCACTAGGTAATTATGACTTCTATTTGGGGGGAGGGCAGTACTGTTGTCTGTTTAAAGACAGTGTTTCATGTATCCCAGGCTGTCTTTGAACTCACTATGTAGCTGAGGATGATCTGAACTTCTGCTTCTCCTGCCTCTACCTCCCAAGTGCTGAGACTGTACAAGCATGTGTCCCCATGCCCAGTTTATAAGGTACTAGGGATAGAACTGAGGGTTTCATGCATGCTAGGCAAGTGCTTAAGCCACATCTACAGCCCAACTTGTATTATTTCTTTATTACCTCCATCCTTTTGTCCCTGCCTAATAAAGAGTTTACAAAAAATTCAGTTTAAGAACTACTTACTATACAGTTGCTTACCTTTTTCTACATTAGGAACTCACTAGGTCAGAAATACCACTGAGGGTTTTTATATGCATAGATTAAGTAATTGAGAAATATGATTATTCCACAGAAATTGCATACCTAATTTCACAAAACAACCGTTTCAAGATCTAAATCTCACCTCATCACAAAGTCAGCGGAATGTCAATATCTTCCTCCATTTAACATGATTAACTGTGATTGTGATTATATTTATTGAATGCAAAATTTAGAAGGGGAAAGTATTTTTAAAAACTTACCAAACATGCTAATACCAATTGTGTAAAATTGTCTCTCTTGCTTTTTTCTTCTAAACAATTTGTCTCAATATCTATAATAACAGAAGAAAAGAGATACAAGTTTTAATTTTCTATACTCTCTACCACTCAAAGATTCATCTTCTTTAAAACTTAGTTTAAAATGCCTCTTTCCAGGCTAGGAATAGTAGTAAACACCTGAAATTTCAGCATCCATGAGCCACAGGCATGAGGATTCCAATTTCAAGGGCAGCCTGGTCTACACTGTGAGGTCCAGATCAGCCCAGGCTATACAAAAATACCTTGTCTCAAAAATAAATATAATTCATTAAAAACAAAATACCTTTCTGAATCTGGAAAAATTATAAACTGCAGAAATACATCTTTTATACATATAGACTTTAATTTCTCTTAATACTCATGACTGACCCTGTCACCTATAACAACATATATCCATAAAATAGTAAGTTTGTATCACAGGAACACTGAAAACAAAATTTCAGAAATAAAAATACTATTTTCAAAAAAGAAAAAAAATTCTAACAAAGTTTGAATGACCACTTGTCTGAGGTACTAAGACAGACTCATTCCTGAATGGCCAAGTTGAAGTAGGGAACAACAACAACAAAAATCTTCTAATTTAGCCTCCTTTGGTGGTACACAACAGTAATCTCAGCCTTTATAAGGCTGAAGCAGAAGTATTGAGTTCAAGGCTAGCCTGGACTAAATAGTAAGATGGTGTGTCATAATGGCAGCAAAAAAAAGGAAGAAAAGAAAAAAGAAAAAGAAAAAAGGGAGCCAGGTGTTGGTGGCACACACCTTTAGTCCCAGCACTTGGGAGGCAAAGGCCGGTGGATATCTGTGAGTTCGAGACCAACCTGGTCTACAGAACTAGTTCTAGGACAGCCTCCAAAGCCACAGAGAAACCCTGTCTCAAAAAGCTGATTTTGTTGTTTGGTTTGGTCCCAACCCCCTCTGAGTGAATACACATATACAAGTGTGCATACTTATTAACAGTGGTGTACGGAGATCAGAGGATGATGTAAGGTGTCTTCCTCAATTGCTCTCCACTTTATTGAGGCAGAGTTTCTCAATGAAGCCAGAGTATGCCAATTTGGCTAGTCTAACTAGCCAGCTTTCCCAAAAGATCCCCTGTCTTGGCCTCCCATGAACTGGGATTATAGGCAAGCCTGTTTTTTAAAGACAAGTCATCACTAAATAACACCAGGTGGCTTCAAACTCAAAGATCTACCTGCCTCTACCTCCCTAGTTCCACTGGGACTAGAGGCATGTACCACCACACCTGGCCTTACTCTGCTTTTTCATGGGTGCTAGGGATCCAAGCTCTGATCCTCATGCTTGTACCAAGTGCTTTACCCACTAAGTCATCTCAGCGTTGGTTTGGTTTTTTGTTTTCATTTTTACAAAGAGGTCTCATTATGTAGCACACACTTACCTTCAATGAGCTATGAACTTGAGGCTGACCTCCAAATCAAAGCAAAATTCTCTTTTCTCGGTTCCCTAGTACTGAGACAAAAATATTTCCTAACCCTAAGAAGTCACTTACTAATGACATTGAGAAGTCTAACATCAAATCTATGGAAAGTCAGTATTAAAAGGTATATTTAAAATCCTACTTTGAACAATTCTAGTCACTAAATAAAAGTGCACTCAATGTTTACATTTTCTTCCTACAAAATATTTTAAAAAGAGACTTCCTTCAGTTTTAATAAATTGTTCAAAAAACTTATCCAAGTTCAGATCTGAGGTGTGGAAGAAATAAAACAATGAATGCAAAATGCCAAACATCAAAAATTTCAAGATTAGCAGGATTACAAAAAGGCTGATTTTGGCTTTTTTTTTTTTTTTTTGGTTTTTCAAGACAGGGTTTCTGTGTGTAGCTTTGGAGCCTATCCTGGCACTCGCTCTGGAGACCAGGCTGGCCTCAAACTCACAGAGATCCGCCTGCCTCTGCCTCCCGAGTGCTGGGATTAAAGGTGTGAGCCACCAACGCCGGCTGATTTTGGCATTGTTGCTTTAACTGATTATTTTACTTTCTGAGACAGGGACTCTTGCAGCTGAGGCTGATCCCAAATTCACTAGATAGCCTAGATGACATTCAATTTCTGATCCTCTTGTTTCTACCGCCCAAGTGGTTAGAATTACAGGCTACCATATTTTAAAAGTCAACTGGTAATTTAGACAGTACAATAAAAGAGGCATCAGTCTCAGTGAAATAACTATTAGCCTCTAAGTGGGTCTTCCAAAATAACAGACACTTTATCATAGTTTTGTTTCAGTTTACTTTCTACTGTCAACATCAAGAATCAAGAGAAGGAGATTTATCATCAAAAACAGCACTTATCATCAAACACTTTCCTGGCCTTTCACTATTCCTTCTTGGACAATTGTCATTTGCCCATAGCCTAGCCACTATAGCACAAAGTTAGCATAAGGAAATTTTAGGGGCTATGGGTGTGGCTTAGTGGTAGGAGGAACACTTGCCTAGCCATCTGTGAGGTCTTGGGTTTTATTCCCCAAAGCACAAGTTAAAAATAACACAAAGAAAATTTAGGGTGTGATTAATGCAATTTAACATAGTATAATCACAACTTTTTTCTGAGACAGAGTCTCACTATGCAGCTCTGGCAATTCTGGAAGCTCACAGAGATCGACCTATCTCTACTTCCAGAGTGCTAGGACAAGAAGTATGTGCCCTCAAGTCCAGCTAATCTCAACTTGTAATGTTGTTTTCTCCAATACTTAATTCATGTGTATCTCATTAATTTTTTCCAGGGGTTCCCAGTTGTCACAGGAATCTAAATTTGTTAAGATATACTGCTAAGGCCCTTAAGATCAGGCATGCAGAATTCAAATCCTCTTAGCTACCTGACCTAATTAAGCTTTTGACTATGGGAGTAATAGTGAATAGAACCCAGTAAATCTGTTAAGTTAGCCTGTCTCAAAGCACTCGGCTTAGTACTGTTATCCCAATCACACGTTTTCTGTTTTATTGTTTTTGTTCTAACTCAAAACACCATTCAAATAAACTCATTTATCATGCCTCACTCCTGCATCCTAAATTAGTACTTGGTAAGTTCTTTTTAATTTCCATGTGATTTTCTAAAACGTCCTCAGTATCTTCCAACTCATGCCTTCTGTATCACCAACCAAATGTTCCACCTCCAAGGTCCCATCAGTGTAGCATGTTACTTCAGAGTAAGCCTCTCATGTTACTACAGCTCTCAGGATCCCTCACCCTTTTAAAAAGTTCTCTTAACCTGGAAAGTATAGGAATATTTTGTTTTGTTACATCTAACACATTAAAAAGACAACATGACATAGTAAAAAGATCATGGAGTCTAGAGTCAAAGGACCCAGGTTTAAATGCTGTCTTACTAGCTGCATTGCCTTGAAACAATGACCACCTCGTTAAACCTCATTGCCCCAATTTGCAAACCTTCCATACAGACAGGAGTTGTTATAAAGTCTAAGATAAAAATGGAAAGCTTTAGCACAGTGCCTAAAACATGAAGGTATTTCACAAATAGCACCTGTATCATAATTGTTATCAGTATCATCATCATTATTAGATATAACCCTCTTTATTTGTATGAGTTTTGCCTGTGTTATGTATATGTACCACATTTAAGTTTGGTACCTATGGAGTTAAGTAAGATCCTCTACAACTGGAGCTAAGGATAGTGAGCTGCCATGTTGGTGCTAGGAACTTTCCATCATGTGTTCTCTGTAAGAGCAGCACAGGCTCTTGACCACTGAGCAATCTTTCCAGCCAGCTAGATCACTTTCTTTCTTATTTTTTATTAATTCAAGTTAGGGAACAGACTTGTTTCACATGTAAGTCCCTTCTCCCTC